GTGGACACTGTGGAGGAGGGAGGAGGTCACTGCCATGGGGGAGGGAGATGTCACTCATGGGACAGGAACTGGTCACTGTGGGGGAGGGAGGTGTCACTCATGGGGGAGGGGTGGTCATTGCGGGGGAGGGTGGTCATTATGGGAGAAGGTGGTGGTCACTGTGGTGGGAGGGGTGGCCACTGTGGGGGAGGGGTGGTCATTGTGGAGGAGGGTGGTCATTATGGAGGAAAGTAGTGGTCACTGTGGTGGGAGGGGGGGCCACAGTGGGGGAAGGGCAGTCACTGTCTCTGGGGGCGCTGGCCAGTTTGACATGCTTATTCTGTAAGTTCCAGCAGGTTGTGCAGAGCCCACTACTCCAGGCTCTGGGGATGTGACTGACGCCAGGCAGGCGAGGACTGCTTACCGTCTGTTGGGGCAGGGACCTACCAGAGACCCCCTCAGGAAGCAGTAGGCAGGGAAACAGGGCAGTTGAGCACGGTGGGGAGGGCCTCCCTGAGGGGAGCACACCATGGAAGCAGCAATGCTCAGATCGGGGTGGGTGCTCAGGGGCACACGGAAGCCAGCAGGGGTCCTCAGGGTGGGTCTCGGTGCTTAGATTGAGGGGGTGCCCAGGGGCACATGGAAGCCAGCAAGGGTCCTCAGGGTGGGTCTCAGTGCTCAGATTGGGGGGGTGCTCAGGGGCACATGGAAGCCAGCAAGGGTCCTCAGGGTGGGTCTCGGCGGCCCCAACAGCCTCCCCAGGAGGGGCAGGACACCCTCACTCAGAATCCAACTGCACCAGTCCTGGGAGGCCACAGCGCCAAGGTCACCGCCCAGACCCGAGGCTGGCATAGTCTCCACTGCCTCCTGCCCAGTCACCCCCGGGCCTCCTGAGCCAGCCATACGGCACCCGAGGGTCCTCTGAGAGCCCACCCTCCCACAGGGCCCACTACACTCTGCCTATGGCCACATGGGCTCTCCAAGCTGGCAAGTCCCTGAGGACAGGACATCCCTCCACCTGCCCACTTCACAGATGTAACAACCAAGACCAATCAAGGTTCAGGGTCACCCAGCCAGTGAGTGGGCACCCAGCCAGTGAGTGGGCACGGGCCCAAAGCCAGGACAGCATGTCCCCAGTTGGGCCTGCATTTTGTCCCAAGGACGATGCTGGGGAGGACAAAGGAAAGGGATGCTGGGCGGGGCCGACAGTCCCAGCAGACAGGAGCCCCCAACACCACCCCAACCCACACCCTGCCTGACAGCAGGCCACAGATGCTGAGGAAACCCAGAACAAGGAGGAGGGCGGTGCCCAGGAACTGGCTGACGTTGGTCCCCGCCTGGGCCTCAGGTGCCCCACATGTTCACACCCCCACTATCCACCTAGGAAGTCCTTGAGGGCTGGCCATGTAGGGGGCTCTCTCGGACCTCAAATCTCCCTGGGAGACTTCTAAACCTATACAACCTTGCAAATTCCAAAGTCCCCAGTGAATGTGGGAGGGGAGAAGAGGGGAGGAGAAGTCGGCTTCCAGAGGAACGGGCTGCAGCCAGCCGAGGTGCGTGATACAGTCCCACAAACCCCGCCGCCCACCCCCCGCTCTGTTCAGGCTGCAAAGATGGCTCCAGAGCCACTGAACCGGCAGGGCCTGAGACATGGGGCCTCCGCTGCGTCTCAGCCTCTCAGTCGTCACACCGGAGCCACTGTCACAGAGCCACTGCAGACCCAGGGGAGGGCCTCCTGAAGGCTAACGACAATTTGTGTTTTGTTTTTCCCATTGGCAGAGACCAAAGGGAGGGAGGGCTGCAGTGTGATGTGTGCTCAGCGCAGGTGCCTTCCAAGAACCACCCCGTCACCCTCTGTCCCGGACCTGCTGTTTGCTGGCACGAGGCTCCACATCCTCTGAGACCCCAGCTGCAGGCAAGGAAACAGGCTGGGAGGGCCAGGCTGGCCATGGGGCCTGCCTATGTGGTCCCCTTCCTAGTCCCCCTGCTACTCGTCCTTAGCACAGTGCTGAGCTGTGAGGGATCCCAAGGGCCACAGGCAAAGCCCAACCCACCCGGGTCCTCTGATCTGGATGCAGGCCCAGGCCCTTGAGTGAATTCGGTTCAGCCCAGAGCCCCAGCTCCTCTCCCGCCCTGAACCAGCCCCTCCATCCCTCGGCTCAGAGCCCCGGCCCCTCTCCCGCCCAGACCCAGGCCCCCCATCTCTCCACTGACAACTGCAGTGGCCTCCACGTGGGGCACCCTTGCCCCAGGAAAGGCCGCTACTCGGCCCACACTCGCCACACAGTGCGCCAGAGGAAACTTGGGGCTAGGATGCCAGATGGACAGGCCCTCACACAGAGGACTGCGGGTGGGGCAGCCGGCCCAAGCCTCCACTCCTCTGAACCCCATCCTGCACCAGCACGAGCCCTCACAAGGCCCTGGGAACAGGACTCCCAGCCAGGACAGGGAGAACCAGCACCTGAGTGAAGGCGCCACACCAGAATCCCAAGACCCGTTCCGTGGATGCTGCCGAGCTAGCTGCCAGGAGGCTGGAGGTGGGCCAGCTCTGCCGATGCGCAGGAGCCCCGCCTCCCCTGCGTGCTGCCCTCTCCCACCTCCTCAAGCCCAAAGCCCTGTGTCGGGGGGGTCTGGGGCCTTTAGCAGGAGGAGCTTCTGTGAGCGGCCTCCACCCCTCGGACTCAATCAATAAGCAGCGCCTCCCCTCTCCGCACGCCACTCTGCCCCACAAGGGACGGCTGAGCCTGGCTGCCCATTGGGCTGTGACGGGACCTTCCCAGGAGGATCTCGGCTCTGGCACAAAGGGGAAGCAGGTGCGTCTGCCTCTCTGGACGTGAAGGCTTCAGGCTGGCACTCCTGGAGGAGCTTCTGGGCTCCCGTTTCTCTGCTTCTCCAGGAACAGTGGGCCTCACCATGCCAGCAGAGAGCTATGGAAACCTTCTCTGTGCTTCAGGTGGTTCTCTGGAGCATCTCAGCAAGAGCAAAGGGCTCATCCAGCCCCAGAGAGAAGCCACAGGCCCAGAGCCGGTGCCTTCCTCTCTGGGGAGCTCGAGGACGGGAAAGGGTGAAGGAGAGGACACCTCACGGAGGTGGCAGGGCCCTGAACACAGGTCTCAAGAAATGGGCACTCCTCCACCAGGCCAATGTAAGGGGTGCCACAGCAGAGGCACAGAGGTGGCGGCCAGGGAAGGAAGAGGCAAGGGAGAAGTGGGCTGGGCCCCAGCACTGTGCATATCCCCTTCCTTCAAGGGTGCAAGGCCTGCTCCCAGGGAAAGCAGAGCTGGCCACAGGTCCTAAGCCAGTGACTTAGCTGACTTACTGGCAGGCCTCTGCTTTTCTAGAAGAATCGGCTCTTAGCAGACATTTGTTCTGTAAACCCAGCCCCTGGGAGCTTCAGAGTGGGCAGGCCCTAGCACCTTCTACAGATGAGGGGGCCAGAAGAAGGGAAGGACGTTCAGGGTCACACACAGAGGCTCAGATACCACCGCCAACAGAGCGTGTCCCCACCACGCTGCCTTACTCCTGTGTTCTAAGTGCACTCAGTACTCAAGGGAGAAGCAGCTCACTCACACATGCATGCACACATGCACACACATTCACACATATGCACTCACACATGCATGCACCCACACATGCACACACATGCACTCACACATGCCCAAACATGCACTCACACATGTACTCACATACACATGCACACACACATGCACACACACTCACATGCACACACATGAACAAATACACATGCACTCACGTGCGCGCACACACATGCACGAACACACATGCACGAACACACATGCACTCACATGCACACACACATATTCACACATGCACTCATGCACACATGCATTCACGCGTGCACTCACACATGCACTCATGAACATACATGCACTCACACATGCCCACACACACTCATGCACACATATGTACTCAAACGCATGTATTCACATACATGCACTCACATATGCACACACACATGCACGCACACACACACGGACTCACACACACATACACACCTGCCCGGACTCGTGTGCCTCTTAGGATACTTTGTTTTAGCAACTGTCTCGAAGAGATTACCCATGGTCTAGAGACACGTTTGGCAGCCGGCATTATACACAGGAAATCTTTAAAGGAACCAAGAATAAGCCACACCCAGTGCTCACATTCTACAGTTGCACCCCGACAGCTCACCCCACCAACTGCTGGCAGCACCACCAAATTGCAGGTTCAGCTCTGAGCAATTTATTCCAGCTTTCAGGAAAATTTACTGGGGACTGCATTAAGCACCTAATCACCTTCACTGGAGCTAAACAGCCTCCTGAAGTCTAACCACGCAGCAAGGCAAATGGCCTCAGTGACCGAGGGGCTACCCCAGCACAGGCCCCGGCCCCTCGCCAGAGGGCCATGCCCTACTAAGGGGAGCCCCGGAAGGAGGGCATGAGGATGGGTCTCCCAGATTCCCATATCTCCCTGACTGGACCCAAAGGCCAGAGAGAGGTGGTCAGCATGGTCAAGGCCATGGGGGCCTGGTTCCAGCCCCTCCAGGCCAAGGGCAAGCAATGGTGCAGCAGGGCTGGCACCTGGGCTCCCCAGGTCCCCAGCCTCCATGAGTGCAGTGTGGACAGTGAGCGTGCTGGCCCGCGCCGGCCTCACCTCCATCTGCAGGATGGCCTCCTCCCGCAGCCGGATGGCCTCCAGGTCCTCCTCAGTGATGTCTGGGAGCAGCGCCTGCTCCTGGCCCTGCCACACGTTGTCACTCCCATTAAAGATCTTCTCATCATCAGCCAGCTCCACAAACGGGGCCTGGGGACTCTGCCGATGACAGACAGACCTCGTTAGCACTGACACCCCCATTACTGCTTATACCCCCATTACCACCACTGATACCCCATTACCACTGACACCGCACATTACCACCACTGACACCCCCATTACCACCACTGACACCCCCATTACCACTACTGACACCATTACCACTGACACCCCCATTACCACCACTGACACCCCACATTACCACCACTGACGCCCCACATTACCACCACTGATACCCCCATTACCACTCACACCCCCATTACCACTACTGACATCCCACATTACCACCACTGACACCCCACATTACCACCACTGATACCCCCATTACCACCACTGACACCCCCATTACCACTGACACCCCCATTACCACTGACACCCCCCATTACCACTACTGACACCCCCATTACCACTGACACCCCCATTACCACCACTGACACCCATTACCACCACTGACACCCCCCATTACCACCACTGACACCCCCATTACCACCACTGACACCCCACATTACCACCACTGACGCCCCACATTACCACC